TATATTTAGGAGTAGGATATCAGTGGTGCTTACAACTATATATTGTATATACAGACTAAATATTGTAATAATTATTACAAATGCATTTAACGTCAGTATGTTTTATTAATCCACTTTATCTTGTGGCGGTAGTTTTAACCATAGTAAAAATCACTTTAAATAGAGCTAAATGTTTCGTTGAAACATATAAAAATGAAATCATCATTCAGGCCATGATTAACACTGATGTGTTTCGTTTTGGTGATCAGATATCGATGAGTGTGTAACCGGTACTCACAGCTGCAGCGAATCTGAGAGCTGCTTCAACATTCAGGGCGGAAATAAATGCCTGAACTTCGACTGTCCGGCGAACTACAGACGCTCAGGAGACACGTAAGTCACGAAAACCTTTCAGTGTTTCAAGTGAACATAAAACTACTTTCAAAAATGATTTTACATCTGTAATCGGATGCATTTCCAAGCAAAAAAAGGATGATTAAAAAAACAAATGCAGGGTGGAGCTTGATTTTACGCTGTGGGAAATAAAAACAATTCTGACTTTACGTTAACTTTAATATTTGAGTGAGTGCACCGTTCTCAAAGCTCATTTACAACTCCTTTTTTAAATGCAACATTTCCACTGAATAGGAACAAATAAATATATTATATTTTTCATTTAAAAAAATATATATTTAATTTTTAGTATATAATAATATAATATGCAAATTGTGTATATATACACATATAAAATGTATTTTCATAAAAAAAAAATATATATATATATATATATATATTTCTGCTTTATATAAACAAATACAATAAATCCGTGTCAAAATACAAATGTTTATTCATGTTTAAATGTTTCTTTTCAAAAAATGAATTTTTTGAGTCTTTAAATAAATTATATATACATATATTATAGAATTTATTTAAAAACATTACATTATATATATAATAAATAATTAAAAATAATGCATGAATGCATGAAAATTTCCACTGAATGTAAACAAATACAATAAAAAAATATAATATAATAATATACAAATATATAAAATATAAATACATTTATAAATATATATTTTTTAATTTAAACATTTTTTATTTTAAAAAAAAAGTGTCAAAAATATTAGTTCATGCAGTATATGGTTAAGGAGTTCACAAATAGCTGAAATGATGCAGGTAGGTATTGATAAAGAAGTGGGGTTTCTAACAATGTGCATGAACGTTGCATCCGAGAAAGCTGCAGGAGCTATGCATGAATAGTGCACCGAGTTTCATTAATACACGTTTTATGTTTTGCAAGTCTTGCCAGAGAAAATTCCCCGTTAACATGAGTGCAACAGTGATGGCCGTTTACCCATTTCTTTTCTCCATTCGGATTCCAAAAAGAAACACAAGCTGAGATGAATCGCAGCATCATTGGTTTCTGTGTCTCTATGGAGAAAACAAATAGAATGCATCAGTCTGTGATGTCACCGCGAATGCTCCTCCCCCTCCACCAAACCCCGCCCCCTTAAAATCACACACTTTTCCGCATGTGGCGCACCGCGGCGTTCTAACCCCTCTCTTTTCTCTCTTTCCCCCCGTTTGTCTTCTCGCAGTCGCTGTGAGCGCTTGCCTTGTAATCAGACTAGCGAGTGTCTGGCCTTGCCTGTGAGAATTACCTACTACCACCTGACATTCCCCACCAAAATCCCCATTCCCACCAACATCTTCCGCATGGGCCCGTCCAACTCGGCGCTCGGGGACGACATCGAGGTGGCCATCGTGGACGGTAACCAGGGAGGCTACTTCGCTGCCAAACGCGTGGAGAATGGCGGCGTCCTGGTGGTCCAGAAACCCATCGCGCTTCCTCAGGACTTTGAGATCTCTCTGGAGATGAAGCTTAGGCGATTCGGACACCTTAGCGTTTACCACTTCAAGATCCGCTTGTTCGTAACCCCGGACGAGCTGAGCCACATCAGCGAATGAAACCGCATAATGCTTGATTAGCTGCTTCCACGTGCCTTGGGAATCTCGTCTAACGTTGCCTTCAAGTCCCTCTGGAAAGATCCCACTTACTAATTTGGAAATTATTGTTACAATGTGATCAAGTGATTTTGGTCGGAACATAATCGATGCCATTTTTCATTTCGAGCAACAAAATGAAGAGCAAATCATGTGTATTATGTTTGTAATCAGTGGCCACCTTTTTGACCAGCCCTTTATGAATTATGACCAATACAGTTCAGGGTTATTATCATAAAATAATAATTATTTTTTACATTTTTGTTAATTGAAATAGAGCTGAAATAAAATACAAAAATGTTA